CTTGAAGAGACAGTTCCCTGCCTCCCTATATGTCATGAATTCTCCAGACAGTGGCGTAGCGTGGGTTCCAGCACCCGCTGCAAGGCAAGTATTGCGCTGTTAGCATGGGTGCCAAGAGGCTGCGCTGCGGAACAAACTGAGACATTTGTAAGATTATATTTATTTTACAAGCGGAGTCCTGAGAGGTCGAGCACCTTTCCAGGTTGGCCCAACTTCAAAATGTGGTGTTTGGTAGGAAGCACTCCTCATCTCTGCAGATTCCTTTCCTTGATTTGTTAACAACAGCAACAAAATGTTCAAGCACAGCAAAAAGAAAGAAAACAGAGAATCAGAAATTTAAACCATAAAGCATCATGGGTCGGACCCACAAAGGCACAGTGCAGCTCAAAAGGGATAATAAAGTACAAAGTATTATGCACCTGTGACTTCCATCATTACTGAGAATAAAGGTTCTACATAGTCTTAAACGAGCCAGACATTTACATAAACCGATGGCATAGACTTTAGGCATTACATTAGCTGTGCTTCCTGCACAGCAGGGGGTTGGACTAGAACTAGCTGACCCTTGGGATTCCCTTCCAACTCCACAATTCTATGATTCTGAATACTGGTAGCACTGAGTGACCATGTGCCTCAGTAGTTGTTATAAGAAATAAAATCATGCCTTTTACACACACACACACACACACACACACACACACACACACACTGTCACTTGAGCTCTGTTTTAGGTACCGTATTTTTCGCTCTATAACACGCACCTGACCATAACACGCACATCGTTTTTAGAGGAGGAAAACACGGGAAAAAACATTCTGAATGAAACAGTGGATGTATCATTTTTGTGCTTCATGCTGTGGCCACAGACATGTGATCTGATGGTGAATTTGGGGTGACCCAATGCAAAAATCCTGATAATCCTGTGGATCCATGCTTTGTAACCACGTTTTTGCACCATTGCAGGCCCCAGGCAACAGTGGGTGCGTGATTTTTTGGGTGCAGGCTGTAGCCATGGACATGCTATGTGATCTGATGGTGGAATTTGGGGTGACCCAATGCAAAGATCCTGAGAATCCCTGTGGATCCATGCTTTGTAACCACGTTTTTGCACCATTGCAGCCCCAGGCAACAGTGGGTGCGTGCTTTTTTTGGTGCAGGCTGTAGCCATGGACATGCTATGTGATCTGATGGTGAATTTGGGGTGACCCAATGCAAAGATCCTGAGGATCCATGTGGATCCATGCTTTTTAACCACGTGTTTGCACCATTGCAGCCCCAGGCAACAGTGGGGTGCGTGATTTTTTTGGTGCAGGCTGTAGCCATGGACATGCTATGTGATCTGATGGTGAATTTGGGGTGACCCAATGCAAAGATCCTGAGGATCCATGTGGATCCATGCTTTTTAACCACGTTTTTGCACCATTGCAGCCCCAGGCAACAGTGGGTGCGTGATTTTTTTGGTGCAGGCTGTAGCCATGGACATGCTATGTGATCTGATGGTGAATTTGGGGTGACCCAATGCAAAGATCCTGAGGATCCATGTGGATCCATGCTTTTTAACCACGTTTTTGCACCATTGCAGCCCCAGGCAACAGTGGGTGCGTGATTTTTTTGGTGCAGGCTGTAGCCATGGACATGCTATGTGATCTGATGGTGAATTTGGGGTGACCCAATGCAAAGATCCTGAGGATCCATGTTGATCTATGCTTTGTAACCACATTTTAAGTGGGGAGCGAAGGAAAAACAAAGAAGGGACATGAGAGGGGTGTGCAGAGAAGCAGCTGGCTAAGAATGCTGGAGAGGGATTTAACGGGTGGGAGGCAAAAAGTTCCCCCCCAAGCCAGCCATCTCTCTCTCTCTCTCTCTCTCTCTCTCTCTCTCTCTCTCTCTCTCCCTCCCTCCCTCCCTCCCTCTCCCTCCCCCCCTCTCCCTCCCCCTCCCCCACTCTCTCTCCCTCTCCCCCAGCAGTACCGGAGCACAGAGACGACACTTTCCCCTCTGCTTGCCTGGAGGGGAGGGGCTTTCCCTGCTCTTTGTTCCGTTTCAGCAATCACAGCAACGAAACAGAGGAGGGTGGGCAGTAAGACCCTGAGGCAGAATACAGGAAAGCTGCCACTTCCTCTTTTCAGGTTTCCCTTCTCCGTGAAGAGCGATTTGACTTTTGCTTGATTTTTTGGCTCCAGGGACCACACATTCGCTCCATAACACGCACAGACATTTCCCCTTCCTTTTTAGGAGAAAAAATCTGCGTGTTATAGAGGGAAAAATACGGTACTTTTAGTTTACGCTACATCTTTTCAAGGAGGGCAATTTGCCAAACCCCAGAGTACCAACAATTCAAATTATTAATATTAAATGTCTTCCAATATTTGGCAGCAATAATAATAATAATAATAATAATAATAATAATAATAATAATAATAATTTATTTATACCCCGCCCATCTGGCTGGGCCTCCCCAGCCACTCTGGGCGGCTTCCATAGAAACAAAAAATACAGTAAAATATCACACGTTAAAAACTTCCCTGAACAGGGCTGCCTTAAGATGTCTTCTGAATGTCAGGTAGTTGTTTATCGCTTTGACATCTGCTGGAAGGGCGTTCCACATGGCGGGCGCAGTATAGCCCGTGTCTGCTATTAAGAGATGAGAAGTTATTTTCTCTTCTTTAGCTTTCCCCCCTAAAAATATCTATATACTTCTCTATGGTGAAGATATCTCACAGTGCTTTATGACAATAAATAAACATAAAACTTGGTTTGAGCAAGGAATGCCAATCCTGGCCCAACTGCTCTGGCTGCCATTTAGTGCTTATAAAGCCTTAAAATGGCTCAAGACCGCAGTACCTCAAGGACTGCCTCTCCCCATTTGAACCAACCCAGACCCTGCAATCATCATCTGAGGTCCTTCTTCGCGTGCCTCCTCTGTGAGAGATCTGCAGGGCAGCAACAAAAGAATGGGGCCTTTTCGATGGTGGCTCCCTGTTTGCAGAATGGTCTCCCCAG